CCCAGAGGGTGGCTGGGCACCAGAACAGGCTCCCCAGAGAAGTGGTCACAGCACCAGCCTGGCAGAGTTCAAGAAGTGTTTGGACAATGCTCTCAGGCACAGGGTATGAGTCTGGGGGTGTCTTATGAGGACCAGCATATTCTCTGATGCTATACATCCTGTCCCATGGATTCCCAAAGTTAAATCCTCTCTTCAGGTGCTTTCAAAATCCATCTCTTCTTTGGCAGCTCTTGCCAACCCTTATCACTCTCATTGAACGAAGATGATAGTCACTGGTGTTGATTTGCAGTGGAGACACTTTGCATTGTGATTACTCACTTTCCATGAGATAAAAGGCCTAATTAGTAGTACATAATCTGGCCAAACCTATGGCCTGGTTTCTTCAACTGGCTGTGTAAGCAAATGCCTGCACCTCCTCAGCAGCTGTGGGGTTTTTCTGCATGATCATTCCCAGGGTGGAGCTGGCCCACTGCTCTGCAGGTTTCCCATTTTCAGCCACAACACTTCATGGCAGAAGACCATGTGGCAGAAGAACTGATGCAAAAAAACAGTGTCAAGACTTTTGCTCATCTGCTGCCTTTGCATCATGAGCTAGATCACATGTAAGTCTTTACACTCTGGTTTTGCAGTTGCTCATGGAAGCTGGCTGAAGGGCATGGAGCTGGTTTACTTGGCTTATAGGTCATAATACACATTGAAGGAGCAGCTATAAATCAGGTAATAAATGGGACACTATCAGAGCCTGTACTTTGTTCATGTTTTCCTGCCCATCTGCCAGAGATGAAATCAGAATATTATCCATATTTTATTTACTTGCTAATTAAAAATTCTGTAATTTTCTTTAATTGACTAAACATTCATTTCAAGTGTCCCTTTCCTTTTCAGTATTAATACTTTTACCTAGACTTTGTTCTTTTTAAATCCAAATGGACATTTGAGAGGGCTTATACTTAGTACAATGAGAAACTAAGACATCTGTACTTCTCTTCCTAGATAGAATATTCTGTGTTCCAGAGAGTTATTTTTAATACTTGCTTCTTATTCATCTATCAATCATATCTTCTCAACATTCCCCTTTCTGCAGGTGCTGGAGAGTCAGGAAAGAGCACTATTGTAAAGCAAATGAAGTAAGTATCTGAATATGCATATCAGCTGTTGAATTTGGTATTTGTAGTCTAAGCTGTCTAGCTAAAGTCTTATTACAATGTTTATGCTTATTTGAATAAAATGCAAAGAAACATCATTCAAATCAAGTTTCCATTCAAACATAATATAAAAAAATTACAAAATGTCTGAGGCACACAGGTGGACTGGTAGTCAAATCTGAGTGACCAAATCATGCACTGGTCCCATGCACGGAGACGAGAATCTGCTTCCTTGGCTTTGGTGGGAATGCTGCAGTGGGAGTGAGACTGTGAGAGAAGCAGTGCTGGCTGATCCACCTGGCACACCCCGCCTCCAGCAGATGCCAATGGAGGCTGTTTGCAGAAGACCATCAGAGCAGCCAAGCCAACACACTTGTGCTGGATACCCTGGCAGTATCTGATGATCTGTGGCTTGGGAGCCATCCTGAAACCAAGACAGCACCACTCTGTGTCTATAGCAGCCCTCAGTTAATCCATGTCTACCCCTGGATCTTGAACCAATGTAAACAACATCCACAGCATTCTACAGCAAGTAGTTCCACAGTTAAATTCACTTGCTGTGAATCATCTCTCCTATTAATTTCATTTGATTTCACTGTATTTCAAGAGCAAATATTAAAATATTCACATTTTACCATAGAACAGAGAAGGTTTTCTTCCTGTTTTTTGGGGGGTCAGTATTATTTCGGTGGTGTTGGTTTTTTTCTTGGTTGGTTTTTTGGTTTCTTGGTTGGGTTTTTTTCCCCAAATTGGCCTCTATAGATCATTCTTGGTCTGCAGAGCTCCTGCTGATGTTAAAAAGGTATCCCACAGGCCAGGGGAGAATATATTTATCTGCCTGAAGAATGAGCAGCTGCTAGCCATGATGCAATGGGTAGGGACTGATGTAAGAACTCCTGTTAGTAAGAACATTATCAACACAAAAAGTTTTTATACATTAATCAACCTGGAAAAAAAACAAAAACCAAAAGAGGCTGTACAAGTTCATATGCAAAAATCTCTGTTTGAATTTGGACCGATTATCTGGTTACAGAGATACTGTGAGTGCATCATAAATCTACTGCAAAAATATTTGTGGTTGTTTGCTCAAAGTGTATAAGGTGCCTCACAGATTGAAGTCAGGAGCTTCACTTGCCTTGGAAGAGGAAGGTCAAATCTCTGCCTGTGTGTGCTGATTTACATTTTAATTTGATAGTGTTTTCATATCTAGTAAAGCAGGTTACAATTAAATTCATACATGTTTTTTTGTTTTAAGAGGTTACCAAAATGCTGATTATGTATCTGGTTTAAATTAATAATCCACCAAAGTTCAAGGAACCATACTTACACTGATAGCAAAAGTCCTCCTTTACTGAACAACCTGATAAAATACTGCTGTTGTGTATAGTCTTATTTTCATAAAGATGTCCAGGCCTGATTCCTAAACTTGTCCAAATACAGAAAAAGTACACAGGGATTGCAGCTGTTTATATTTGATCCCACTTTGTAAGCATCAATCTCTTCCTGTGTAAAAATTAAGCAGCCTGCAATCCATAATACTACTCTGAGCTTAAGTTCCCCTCCTATTTATTGTCTTCACCAATGCATTTTAAAGAGTTAAGTAAAAAATATTATGTCATAAGAACAATTTCAACTATTTAAGCAACTCATAATACAGCAGATTCAGAACTATCCACCAAATACTTTTTTTTTTTTCCAGTTAAATAGTAGATAAATTTATTTCTGGTTTGAGTTCCATTCTGGAGACCCTCCCTACTCAGCAAGCCAGTGAGGTGCATTGTGCTCAAAGCTTCCCCAAGCAGGAGCAGATTAAAGTTCTTCTGAAATGAGAACTATGGGGAGAACACTGCAAAGCTGAGAGTTATATTTAAAGACTTTTGCATCTATGAGTTGTCAGATTGATCACAAATATGAATTATTTTACAGGAAAATTGTTCACAAAAATTGTAATTTTTTGTATAAAATGTCATCTTTCTGTCACAAGCAAGGACATTTCAAAGGGATTTTTTTAGTTAAAACCCACAATATCAGTTAATTTTTTTCAATGAAGCACAACATTTTCTAAAGAATACTGATAAATGATTACAAAAGAAATGATTTTGCTGAAAATACCATTTCCAGTAAAATCATAATAATTTTATGACTAATAACATATTTTTCTAATTAATAAATCACATTTTTTTCAGTCTCAATCAAAGTTATATCCCTCCACTAAGCTTTAGAAAATATCTTCTGAAGCTCACAATACAGATATGCTGCAAGGCCCTTGCAGCATAAAAGATGAGGATGGTTATGAGAGTTACTAAAAAAAAAAAATCTCTGAAGCTCTGTGCTTCTAACTGCATAATTTCCAATGTGCAATCTAAGTTTTTTAAAAGCAAGTTGTGTATCTCTGTGCTGTGCTCTTATTTAGCAGTATGAAGTTTCTACAAATACTTCAGTGAATGAAAAGCAGGAAACAAAACATTTGGTAATTCATTGTGCCTGTTGAGATTGAATCAAAGGCACCTATCTGATGATAGCCCTGCTTTTGTGAATAAAAGCCTCAGAAGATTGCATCCATAAAATGGAGGGTCTCTGCTCCACGAGCTCCTCTTTTTTCTTTCTCCCAAGTTCAACAGGACTCTTTTGAATCTTGCAGAATTTGTTTGAATTCATGATGAAAACAGCATTCAGAAAAAAAAACAGACAACGAAGCTTCAAAGGAGTGTTCATAGAGTTGTCTGATCTAGAAGTGATTGGGAAAACATTTTAGAGAGCCTTTTTTTCCCTACAGATGTTATTCCTACAGAATGCACCTTCTGAGTTTTCTGACATCCATAATTAAACAGATGTTAAGACACATCTGGGTTTTGTGTGAGTGTATGTGAGAGTATTATTTTTTTACAGGGCTGACTTGGCCGCTTAGGAAACTCTGTCCAGAGTGTATCTCAGGCAAGATTGGGTAAAACTCCAAACCCCAAAACCCAGAAATTCTGTATTTAATAGCCTTCATCTCTGACCAGATGAGGTGAGGAAGAAGAGAGCCTTGGTTCCAGCAGCCAAAGCAGTTTGGTGTCTGTTCATTGAGAACACACCAGGCCAAAGTCAGTGAAGATTTCATCTTTTTCAGAACCATGGAAAAAAGATTCCTCCAAGCCATGATATAATCTGTACACTGATTTGGAGAATTTTAGCCACATGCCATTCTCCAGTCAAGGAGGATTATGAAATTCTAATTCCTCTGTCAGAATTAGATTACTGAAATTGATTACTAAGGCTCTTTACCCTCTGGAGTAAAATGCATGTCTCCAAAGCCTGGAGATAATAAGACATTGCTATAACTGGAAGATGCACAAAGAAATACTAACATTTCTTTTTCTTGTTTTTTTGATAAGTGCCTCCCAGTGTTGAAACATTTTTTCCAATATTTTTTCTATCTAAGTAAGATTCTGGATAAAAATCAGAATGACTGAACAAACAATGACAGCCCATAACTAATATTGCTGTTAATAGTTAAAATACAGATCTAGGTACAGAAATGTATCTTGCCCTATATCTCCAGAGATAGGCCTGGTCCCTGCTCTAGACTAATACTTTGGTTTAGATTATTCCCCATGGGGAAAAACCAGCATCTATCCACTCAGCCTGGGTGCAGACAGTTAACCTCACATAGACAAAACCTGCTCTTTTCCTGTTCTAGCAGAACAGGCAGATCAACCATTGAAAAATGCTTTTCCAAGGGCCATATGGATTCAGTTCTTTCTCACACTGACCACAAAGGCACCTGACCTAACTTTTCATTACTTTTTTTCTTTCTTTTTTCTTTTTTATTTTTAAAGTATCCCATAAGCTTTGTGTTGTTTATTTTTGCACCAGGATCATCCATAAAGATGGTTTCACCTATGAGGAACGCATGGAGTTCAGACCTATTGTTTACAGTAATGCAGTGCAGTCTATCCTGGCTATTGTGAAAGCAATGACTAAGTTAGGAATCAGTTACGAAAATCCTGCTAGAACTGTGAGTATTGACACCTTTTTTCTTGAAATAGGCATTAGAACATGTTTTCTTTTTTGGTAATATAATAGTAGAGACTAGTAGAACAAAGAGGATCCGGTATTTTCTTTATGACTGTTGAAACTGAGCACCATGTGAGTTACTTGTGACAAAATGTCCTCCCTTATTTTTATTTTCTCAGAACTGATGCCTGAGGTCTAACCTTTGCATATACTCACATTTTGATTGCTACAAAAGAAATGTTCAAGTTGAAAAGACATTTTAAAAAAGCAGAAAAAGGAAAAAAAAAACAAACAAAAAACAAAGAACATTTTCTTAGCTGCTTAGACACTTACTTATTGCTATTGGGAAATGTAAAAAATATTTTCCTTTTATGACCAAACCTAGGGGTTCAGCCTTGTAAGTAAAGGTCATGTAGACATGTTTGGGAGCATTTCAATGTGTCATTGCTCCAGGAGCAGAGACCTCCCTGCTGTGTGGACACAGTACTGGCACTCTGGCACCACAGGGCAGTGGAGCCCAACATTCCTGACACTGTCAATAATCCTCTGCACAGGCACGTGGAGGCAAAGCCACAGGAAGAAAACCTGTTGTCTTCTGCCAATCACACTGAATTTTCAAGGACAGAAATTAAGGAAATGCTTTTCTTCTCATTGCTTAATTCTCTTCTACATAAGAGAATATGTAGATTCTCTTAAATCTAATGACTTAGTCTGTTAGCCTGTAATTCAGATCTTGCTGAGAATTTCTCAAATGCCTGTCAGAATATCAGTTGATTCAAGTTTTGGCAAATTCTGCCTAATCCCTAGAGGTTTATCTTGGAGGGAATAACATCTGCTTATCTAAAAGAGCTTTACTTGTTCCAGAAGTCTACATTTCATTATAACGACATGTGGTACTTTGACCTAAAAAATGATAAACAAAATCTTCAGAGGTTACTGAAGCTCATACTGGCATTTGTCAAAATAGAAATTAAATATTTTCCAGGAATGCAAGTCATTCAAACAAATGTAACAAGGCCCAAAAGCAGCACACACAAAACAGGACAATGTTAATGTGCATAAGGAGCCATCAACCACCCTGCATGGCCCAAGCCTTGGCTACAGATGGACCTTGCAGCACTGGCCACAAGTCCTGCCTGGCTCAGCCCATGATATCCACTATGTGCTGCAGACTCTGCCACCTGTTACTGAGATGTCTTCTGTGGCTCAGTATTTCATCCTCTTTTCTCAACCTTGACAAATTTTCTGAGATATCTGTACAGGTTCACTCTATGCCAGATTCATAGACACCCTTTTGAAGGGACTTCACAGCATGGAGAATGTGTTAAATAGCCCAGTTCATTTCTTAGCATTATCTGTAACCAAATGCATAAAATACAGCTTTTGTAAGTTTACCATTTATAGCACAGTCAGCTCACTCTTGCTGTCTCTGCAGATCAGGTTCTAGGAACACAGCTGAATACAGCTGTACAGAACATTTGCAGTGCCTGTCTTCTTTTCCCCCAGAATGACAGAAGAGCTACCTGGATGTGATTTTTGGAGAAAATAGAAATTTTGGTTACATTTATTTGAATTGCAAGTAAACATTGTTTTTTCTTCCAAAACCCTCCAAAATCTTAGCTTACATAAAATCATAAACCTTTGGTAAGCTTGAGTTGTTTTTATATAAGCTTTGATTTCAGCTGGACTTTGCTCTTGCTGTGTATTCTGGTCCAGATTTAGATGCTCAAAGTCATCTAATTCAAGGACTGGGATTATCTTGGTCCCAAAAGCAATGTGCTTATCCACGTTCCAGGTCTGCCTGCAAATGCATCTCACTGGTACAGAAAAGGCCTTAGCACTTAATTTACAGAACATCTGTTCTGGGAAGCGAGGTAATTATTTCTTTCTAAAACATCATTCCAATCTATTTTTGAAAATCATCTGAAGTCTTTGTAAATGCCAGAGAGAAACAAAAAAGCATTGTACAAATCAGGTTTATGATAAACTCAATCTCTGCTATCTTCCTTTACTACGTAAGCACCCAAATCTACACTTTCTCCCTTTTGCATAATAATCAATGAACATTTACCCTCTACACCTAGAGACTCTGAACTCAAGGCTTCTCATTGTAGACCATGCAACCTACAGCCTAGTAGGTGGATAGCTGTAATCATTCCGTGATATGTCATATCTTGAAGCAGAGAACATTCCAACTCTTATCTTGCAGCTGAGCAAGTGTGCACCCTGGAGACAAATGCGGGCACACACGAGAGCGTGACTCGCTTCTGCTGATCCCAGCACTGCAGGAGGGCATGGGGGTGGAAATGGAGCTGCTGCTGTTTGATGTAGAAGGGCAATTATCCTGCTGTCCTCCTCCCTTGTTCCACTGAAGGCAATTTTCTAGTGGTTATTTCCCCAGTTTTTGGGTTTTTTCTCCGTGCCTACTCAATTTCTCTTTTTTTTCTTTTTTTCTCCATGCCTACTCAATTTCTCTTTCAGAAAAAAAATCAGTGTTCAATTTTTGATCTGTCACTGACTTTTATAAAGTTTCCATAAACTGCAGTTCCTCTTGAGACATAAAGATATAGAACATTCCTAAAATAAATTTGTTAAAAATTTTTGTGAACATGCTTCCTGGTTTTGAATAAAACATATTCCCTGCCAAAACAGAGTCTCTCAGAATCCATTTATACTTTTGCAACTATTGACTGCAAGTCACTTGAGTTGTCTACTTCTATGACTAGGAAGGAATTACGTTTTATAATTATCCCTTGCTATACCTTATTTATATAGGTATAATTATAATTATACCTTGCTATAGGCAGTGTATCAAATGACTATTTTAATCATGCTCTTTATTTACAGTAAGTGATTATATTAATAATGCTCTTAATTTACAGTAAATTCCTAAGCTGTTAACTACTGAAAATAGATATTTTTTTAATGAAATAGATTATTTAAAATATTTTTATTTGACTACGAAAGGAAGAAATTACAGAATAATATATTTAAAATATTTGGGACTTTATTCTGTACAGGTTTCTTCTTCCCCACATATGGGAAATGCATTCACTAATCATATTCACTTTGTCACATTTCTTATTGGGGTTTAAAGAATTTTTTTCTTACCAACACATTCAAAAACACTTTTAAATACAGATTTCTGCATTGATATAGCTATAATACATTTTAAATTTAAATGTAAAAAGTTTAAAAAACTTTTAAACTACATTTTTGATACCCTATTACTCTCTCTTGATATAAAAGCCTTCTATCCAAGCTGGACTATTTGTGAATGTTTATGGCAAGATGAAACTGAGCCAAAACATAACAGTAAAAAGATGAAAACTGTGTATCACAATTTCAGCATAACCTTGGTACTACCTAAAGGGAAGCGAGCTTGTAAAAGCATGTTTACATGCACAGGCCAGTACAGCAACCAGGAAAAAAAACAGTGAAAATGAGAATTTTTGCCCTTGCAACTCATTATAGACCAAGCACATCTTCAAGGAGGTGAAGGGGCACAGAGCGCTTGCACAATATTTACTGAAATTTCTCTTTAGGAAGACGAGAGGAAGCTGTGTGCCATGGCAACAACCCTGGAGGATGGCAGCATGTCTTCTGAACTGGTTGAGCTCATCAAACAACTGTGGCGTGACGGCGGGACCCAGGCCTGCTTCGCCAGGGCGGCCGAGTACCAGCTCAGCGACTCGGCAGCCTAGTAGGTGACACCAGCTGCTGCACAGCTGGCTGCTGCACTGCTGGCTGCTGCACTGCTGGATGCTGCACAGCTGGATGCTGCACTGCTGGATGCTGCATAGCTGGCTGCTGCACTGCTGGATGCTGCACAGCTGGCTGCTGCACAGCTGGCTGCTGCACTGCTGGCTGCTGCACTGCTGGATGCTGCACAGCTGGCTGCTGCACAGCTGGCTGCTGCACTGCTGGATGCTGCACAGCTGGCTGCTGCACTGCTGGATGCTGCACTGCTGGCTGCTGCACAGCTGGCTGCTGCACTGCTGGATGCTGCACAGCTGGCTGCTGCACTGCTGGATGCTGCACTGCTGGATGCTGCTCAGCTGGATGCTGCACAGCTGGCTGCTGCATAGCTGGATGCTGCACAGCTGGATGCTGCACAGCTGGATGCTGCATAGCTAGATGCTGCACAGCTGGCTGCTGCACAGCTGGCTGCTGCACTGCTGGCTGCTGCCGCCACAATGACTGCCCCCGCGCAGAATGGCCTGCAAAAATCCTGGTTCATTAACCTGAAAAAATGAGGGGATTGCTAAGGTTTACAATATAACAGAAATGGTTAATTGGAGGAAACAAGTGAAAACAAGGTTTCTGAAACAATTTGTTTCAGTAAGTTGTTGGTAAAAAATTTACAGAGTGGTAAAACTTTACAAATAGAAAGCAACAACAAAAAAAATATATTCTCCCTCTGTGTATTTCTAGGATTGACAAAATGAGGGAAAGGTTACTTGAAGCAGCTTAGGTTTTTTTCCAGAGTGATACTTTGTGTGTGTTGCAAGATGCTAAGTACAAATCCAGCAGAAACTATACAAACTTTCCTCTAAACCAAGCGGGCTGTACGCACAGGGGTTCCCTGGACCATTCCCCCTCATCTGAACCAGTCTCCAGCTCTCTCTCTGAGCCCTGGGGGCTGCCAGACACATCAGCAGGGGGCTGACTAGGGCTGCTCAGCCCTACAAAGGATCACCATCCAGCTGGGGCACATCTCACCTCAGGTGTAGCCAGTGACTTTAGACTTTTCAGGAGTCCCTGGCCCGGCTGTTCCTGCAGGCTGCAGTCCAGCTGCCTTCTCACTCAGCTCATACTCGGCCATGAAGGGAGGTGTCCCTGGGTCAGAGTCTTCCGAGAGTGCCCCAGCCTGTCCAGATCTGGGGCAGAGGTTTGTTCCAGCCGAGATCCATCTTCTGAGACCTGGAGGTGGAGGTTTTCCCACTCCTGGAGCTCCTCCTACAGCCTGAGGGCACCTGCAGGGTGCAGCTTTCTGAGGTGTTGGGTGTCCCCTTCTGCAGGCAGGAAAAGAAAGGCATGGCTGAATGTTGGGATCCAGGAGGCAACCTGAAGGCATCAATAATTGTAGATATAGTGCAGGGAATATGCAGAAAAAATATTAAAAATTCTTCATCACTTTATATCTTCCAAACAAGAATGAAGACCTTTTGCAAGAGCCCTAAACAAAGAAAATACTGCCCATGTTGATTTGTGCCTGATTTGACAATATTTTATAGCAGCTTTGTATTTTTATAAGAATGGTACAGAGAAATTTTTTTCTAATGTACCCCTTCTGACAGGCTCCACTGCCTTACCCACTAAAAGCCCATAACAAGTCAAAACAAGTAAAAGGAAAACTGCCTCTTAAATTAGAAAAAAAAACCAACTAAACACTGTTTACCAGTTAACATTCTTTTGTGTACGCTCCGCCTGGCAAATTAGGTTTTCTTGTCTACAAAGAAGATAGAAGAACATGAATTAATTTCCTTTCAGTGTTACTGTTTGTGTCCTGTTGTAACTTGCAATAGGTTTCAATATTTAAGGGAATTAATATAGATTGTATTTGCAGTTATTATTTATTTCTAGACTTACATTAAGAACAACTACAGTGATGTTTTTCATCTGCTCGAACATTTCTGCTAATTTCTTGAAAATCTTGCTTCTCTGTCTTCATCTTTTTGTACCTGATGCTTCTGAAATTCTAGCCTTTGGCTCTGAACCATTAAAATCAACTTAATATTTGCCCTTGCTGCTGGGTTTCTAATGATAAGTTCAAAGTCAGCTACAGTCAATCAACCATCTAATGCTGCAGTTAAATTTCTTTTAAACCCACAACCCTGTTTCTCAGCACCTGTGAATCAAATCCTACAAAGACTATTGATTAATACTGTGTAAACTGGCTTTTTGAGGTTATCTTCCCTGAGATATTTCACTGTTAATTCATGCTAATGAAGTTTCATCACTGCTTTTCTTTTGTGTGCTTTAATTGAAAAAAAATTGGCATGCATGAATAATAGAAAAATTTCCTCTTTGTCAAACTTGGCTGGAATTTCTCCCTTAAACTCACTTGTAACTAATTCTGTTTTAAAATGGAATGATGGCTGTGGAAGGGGCAAGTTTGAGATTATAAATGGTGACTTTAGATGTCATTGTACAGCTATCAGTACTACATGGTGCATTTTTCTAGCTCAGTCATTTTCCTCTTGGGACAGGAGTCCTGTCACCTCATCCAAGCCAAGGAGAGACCAGCATTTACTGACCTACCAGTTTCCATTCCCTCCTTTCCCAGTGATGGTCTGCAGTCTCTCCTTGGATCTGCCTACAGCTCTAGGGAGAGCCTGAAATTGCCTCCTGCTCCTTTAACTAGATAATTGACTTGGTCTAATTTTTTCTGCAATTACAGCTGTCTGTGTTCAATTGAATTTAGGCATTTGTGGCTAAGAACTATCAGAATTTTATTTTACATTCAAGTGTTTATTTTAGTGCTTACATGCTTTGCAGACAACTGTAAAGCCTTTCTGCCTTCCACAAAGGTGAGCTGAGCTTGCCTCAGGCCCCCTGTTCAGAGAAACAGAGATATATAGCTTCTTTTTTCTTTTCCCAACAGATTGTTTCCTGGCCTCAAATAATGGGAAAACATTGAATTACTCAGATCAGGTTCAACATCCCTTGCAGACTGGATGAAGTTTATTTGACTTAAAATAAGAAATCCCACTTCCAGACATTACTTGGAAATATCCAAGTGAAAAATTCAAGCTTTTTTTAATTTTTATTTTCTTTCCTTTTATTATTCTATTTTTTAATTATTTGTTTAAAATTAACTGTGAAACTACCACACAGATCTATCAAATATTGCATGCAAAGATGATGTTCTGTGAGGTTTCTTTTGGAAGATTCTGGTTAAACTGAGCAGTAGAACTTCCTGCAGGGCAGACTTAGTGTAGAGAGGAAAAAAGAAGGCATAGAGCCTAACAGACATTAGAGACATAGTGTTTTGTTTGTCAGAGACATGAGACTACAAATAGAAAGGTGCCAACTGGACACTGAAAATGCTCCAGCTGTTGTGTGGTTTCTTGCTTTGGTCTTTGTTTAAATATTTGTGGCTAAAATGCGGGAAGTTACTCAGGCATCACCTTTTCTTCTCCTTTTGTCAGCTCAAAACCCCTCTACACAGATTCCCAGACCAGACAGTAGGATTCAGAGGTTCTGCCCAGTCATTTATAGAAAGTTGTCTGCCCCTAGAAGAGAGAAGTGTTGGACGAAAACATGCTTCAAAGATCTGGTTTGGGTTTTCATACTATGCAGATTTAGTCTCTGTACACCAGAAGTAAAAGCAGATAATCCACAGTTTTTCAAGGGCTCATCAGAACACTAACCCAGGGGATCCTCAGCTTTATTGAAGCTTTTGGTTTTTGCTAAAAAATATATATTTTTTTTAAATCACCATGTACCTTGCTGTTGTAAATTGAGAGATCTACAGGGAAAACAACCTTCAAAGTGAATTCCTCCAAAATACTATTCCTTCCCTTTCACTTAGGAAGGAAAATACTGTTGCAACCAGTCTGACAGGCTGAGGTGATTCCTTATGCATCTGTTTCTGCAGGATGCTTCCGATTCTTCCCCTGAGGCAACAATTCCCACTCGCTGAGAGAAAAATGGTCAAAACCCCTTTGGTGACAAAGTGGTTTTCAAGCATCCCTAAGGAAAATAAGGATTTTCCTTTACTGCAATTCTCAGAAAGATCTTTTATTATGTGCAATTGAATTACACTTCTATGTACCAGAAAAAGAAAAAAAAATAAAAGCTCTGAATTGTGGAACTCAGTTGAACAAAAACCAAAGTACTGTATTTAAATGTGTAATTTGCATAATGTATTTAAAAGTGCCTCAGTGTGGAGTGATTATGTAATGGACATTTCACTTTTTGAATTCACCAACCACCATTTCTTCCTTCCTCTCCCTAGTTACCTCGATGATTTGGACAGGTTGGCAATGCCAGACTATGTCCCTACTGAGCAAGATGTCCTGCACTCCCGAGTGCAGACCACTGGGATTATAGAGACTCAGTTTTCTTTCAAGGATTTAAACTTCAGGTATGAATGCCATATTTTGCAGTTTTCTTGGGGTTTACCTTAAGTATTTTCTTTCACAGGTATTGATTTATTATCACCTTATTGACACAGGTGATATCATTGTGATATCATCGAATCTAATCTTATTTAACAGTTTTACACAGCTGAAAAAAGAAAGAGGTTTTATCATCAGTAGTCCAACTCTGAGCATATAATGGACCATTATAAACAGGTCACAGAATACTAGGTTCTAAAAGGACATTTTTACATATGTAAATGTCTAAAAAGCATTAGCTATATCCTGCCATTTGAGTAATTGTGACATTTATGAAATTTGCTTACTTAAATATCCTTTAGAGCATGCAAAAAACATTTGATGCCTACCAATTTACATGCACTCTCAACCTTTCACTCTTCTTTTGAGAGTGGAAATAACTGCTTTTAGCACTGGAATGCACTACAGTTGGTTAAAAAAAAACAACTCTGTCCCATGAGAAATTTCAGCATTATCAAGCATGTCTTCATGCTCATTTAATATGATAACCAAAAGGTTCAGAAAAAAATTTTGAAAATAATGCCTCTGAGAAATTTGACTGAATGTTTTTCACTTTCAGATATTCAAGATCTAGTTATGCTTGGTGAACCAATTAAAAACATCTAATTGCACATGAAAATGGTTTGAATGAATTATTATCATTTCAGAGTTCTATAATGCTTTTCTCTGTGGACTGAAATCCATTTAATTCTTAATTTAAAGGCTGGGGCACATATTGAGGAATGCAGTCTAGACAAGAAACTGCCTGTAGAGACAGACAGATTTATAAAGCATGAGGATTATAACTTTTGCATTTTTCATTTGGCTTCTTTCTTTCTCCTCATGTGCCAATTAAGCATTCCCCAAACCATCTATGCTACCACGCAGATGCTTTAGCACAACAGAGACTGCACATACAAAATGAGATCCTGAGGTAGATGTCTTACAAATAACTTATTATCATCTATCAATATTCTGGTCATTCATGAAAATTCATGACTTTCCAGCATATGATACAGTGCAATTTCACAGACATTATCTTATTTTTCTCTGATTAACATATTTCCAGACAGCTTTGAACACTGGAAACTTGAATGCCTTCAGTTACAATCATAGTTCATGAAAGAAATAAATTCAGGGTGGAGAAAGAAACCACCAGAGGGAAATCCTCATTGACATGGATGCTATCAGTCCTGATATCAGAATATCAGCATTAGTGTTTGAGTCTAGCTGAAATGCAGCACAACTGGGAATTTAGTTACGTGAGTGTCTGCAAAAAGAGACTCTGCTCTTAATGACATCACAAACACAAACCCGCTGTTTTTACACTCTCTGCTGTGCATCACAGTAGTGTTATGTGACCAAATTCATTGGTGGCTTTAGGCAGTTGAGTAATATCAGGTAAAATCTCTACAAAGGAGCCTGAGGGGTTTGAGCTGCTGAAGTGGTGCAGAATAATTATAAATCCATGTTAACCAGCCAGGTACTGCTACTTTGCATTTCCATAGCAAAGCAGAACAGCTGGAGGACCCTGATGTGTCTGCAGCAAGTTTGGTAAATACCATAGAAACATCTCGAAAGAGAGGAGCACTTACACATTCAGAGTGAGTTTTGGCTGATGCACTGATGGCGTGTCAGGTCACAAGCCACACATGGATACAAGAAACCCATGAACAGATGCCTCATTTACTAAACACTTGTCCCTTCACTGAATTGAATGAGACAAAATATTTTGTATCTGTGCAGTAAAAGGCTAAATCCCAGTACTGCTCCAGGGAACTGAATTACAGTTGCACAGAAAACATCGATTTTTATTTGCTCCTTGTTTAGTGGTTACTTTGCTGGTTTAGTGCAATTTAGCTTCCATGTGCTTTTCAATTTATTTCAATAATGCTGAATTAGAACATATTTAAACGGTTTTTCAGAAAAGATCTGATCTATGATCTATGATATGTCATCTTCTAGTGTCCTTTCTATCGGTGTGCTAGGAAGAGTTTGACTGAAATCAGTCAAGCTTTATTTCAATCTTCAGGCCTCTGTGTGTACCACTGAATGAGTTTATAGCTAACTCTGTATCTGCAGCTAAGCTTTTCAAGAGAAATTCTGGGAAAATATAGAGATTTCTAGACTAACTGACCATCTTAGTAAAATAAGATCATCTAATTTTCTATCATTTATGGAGGGACTTTGGTTTTACATGTGCAAGTGTTAAGTTCTGGGCTGAGAGAAGCAAACTAAGGTTAGAAGAAGCAAATCTGCCCATTAACATAACCTCTGGCCTTGGTCTTGTCCTTTTTAACTGACTTCTCATGAATATTCAAAGAGCCATAAGCTAAAAGGTCACAGGAAGTGAATACTGCTTCACATGATTATGTATACTGAAACAAAACTTTTCTGAAGATTAAATTTTGAAGCTTTTAATTTTTTTTTCCTGCCATAACCCTCATTTCAGTTATACACCACAAATCAAGAAAGGCATGTAATTATAGGAGACTTTTGAGTACCAGTGAGAGACAAAAGTCAAGATACTTTATGTTGACCCCACTCCTCAGCAGACCTTCTGAACTCAGTGAAGATATGTTTGAAAGAATGCCATTACTATTATCAAAATCTTGTTCCACAACAATTTCCCGATTTCCAAAATAATTCACTTTTATAGACACCCAACAAAAAAAGAGATGAAATGTACCAGAAAAAAAAATATTACTCCTCAGATGAAGAAACATGAGCATTGGAAAGGGTTTCATTTTTTTCTTAGAAGGATGAAAAATTAAAAAAAAATAACCTTTTTAAACATCAACTGCACTGCTGATGGAGAAGGAAACAAAGGATTAAGATACTGCAAAAAACAATGTTTCAGTAACAAATTATTCTTATTCTGTTTACTACTGACATGATTTTTTCTTACTGAATCTTGTTGTATTTGTTGCTATAAGAGTTGTTGAGTTGTGTTTAATTTTCAGATACTGCAGAAACCAGATATCTAATGCATATTCTTGAAGGAAGAAGTAATCCAACAGGGATTATTTTTTACAGTACTAAGTTCAACAACCTGCAACAAAGGGAAAAGTCATCATGCACACTAGGAAACAGAAAACATAAAAGCAGGATAAATTTGATTTTTATTTTTTTTCCCTGATTCCTAATGCACTTAAAAAATCTTCAAGTTTAGCACCTTTTGTTTCAGAAGAACAGTGAAAAGAAAGCCCAAGCCCTTATCACTGAAGAACTGCAAATCCAAGTGTGAGTTTTGGGAGGTTCCAGTTCCCAGCTAGGTGTGCCCAGCTGGCTTTGGATCCCACAGAGAGCCCATATAAAGTTCATGTGACACTACCCTAAGGCAGTAGTGATTCCTGGCAAAGATTTCCATCTTTGGAAATTATTAAAAGTTCATTTCCAGGAAATTATTGCAGAGAAGGAGAGCCCTACAATTCCCACTGTACAAAGGAAGGGATTCCTGCTCTCCAGGAATTGCTGCTTAAGAGCAGCTGATGAGATGGGCAGGGAAGAGACCCTGCAAAGGTGTGATGCAGGCTGTGTGGTGAGCTCAGTGATCACTCCAGGGCAGTGAGCAGATGGAAACATCAATTCATGAACAACCAGGGGTCAATGTGTGACTGGCCTTCAGCTTATGTCTTATGGTCAATACGTCAGTTCACTGCAAGCAAAACCATGAATTGGTAAATGACACCGAGCTTGAGGGTCTGCTGTCAATGTCTCAGAACTCTGCCCTAAATAAATCCTAGCCTGCAAGTCTTAGTCCTCCACTGAGCCCCACTTCCTCAACACAAAGTGCCACATCAAAGTACTATTAATCCTAAATGCAGGTATTTAAGCCTTTTCATTTCATTTTGTAGCCACTACAAAATCATGAGTAACAAAGCACTCAACCTCTTGGGGTAGAAACAGACCAATATTTGAGAAAACTGGGTATTTTTCATCTCCATTTGAACTCTGTGCATTAAAAGCATGACTACACCCTTATTAGTGCTTTACACTGTACATATGTTATTTTTTCTGCAAAGGATGTTTGATGTGGGTGGACAACGATCAGAGAGGAAAAAGTGGATTCACTGCTTTGAAGGAGTTACTTGCATCATATTCTGTGCTGCACTCAGTGCCTATGACATGGTTCTGGTGGAAGATAAAGAAGTGGTGAGTCAGAACAGACAAAAAGCCCTTTTTGCTTCTAAGTTTTAATGTACTCTCTGATGGTACATTCCCATTCTCTGATAACCATTTAAAGGCTTTTACACTGTATTGGTTCTTTCCAGTAAAGAACATTGCAGTAAAATGACATATGGGGATGAGATTTGTCAGTCTTATGTTTATCTTTTGCACCTCAACAGAACAGAATGCATGAAAGCCTTCATCTGTTCAACAGCATCTGCAACCATAAGTGCTTTGCAGCCACTTCCATTGTGCTGTTCCTAAACAAAAAAGACCTCTTTCAAGAGAAAATAACAAAAGTTCACCTGAATATCTGCTTTCCTGAGTATAACGGTAAGTTTGGAGTGTCTGGGAGAAAGCACATTTAGATGTTTAGTGTAGTCCATGCATTAAAGACTGAGACTTTGACTCAGGTCACCAATATATAAGCCTTTAAATATCAAGCCTCTTATCCAAGCATCTTCTCATGAAAGAATGGTATGAGACAGATATGGCCAGAATTCAACTCATCTCATATGCAAGAGAATATGTGTCAGAAATTGCAAGAGAAAAACTAGTTTAGATAAAAATTTTTCATACCTAATGCATGAAGTTAATTCAAATATAAAGAAAAGAAAAGGAAAAAAAAAAAGGCAGAAAATATTTCATGTCTCTTTGCAGTTGTGAGGACCTGCCAGTCAAAATGTGTCTTCTTTTGCTTTTACTTTTCTTTCCACTAGGACAAAACACATTTGAAGATGCTGCAAATTACATCAAGAAGCAATTTCTAGACTTGAACATAAGGAAACAAGATAAAGAGATATATTGTCACTTGACCTGTGCCACAGACACCCAGAATGTCAAATTTGTTTTTGATGCGGTCACAGACATAATAATCAAAGAAAATCTGAAAGACTGTGGGCTTTTCTAACCATTAATTCCCTTGCTCAGAGCTTCACTCCACTTTCCTCTCTTCATCTGATGTGCTGGCTGAAATAAAAAAGCCCCTCTAGGTAAGAATCAATATCAGTTAGGCACCCATTAACATCATTACCATTGGCTGTACCATTAGTTGGGTACAGCCTAAGCATTGCAGAACAACACAGACCTTCCAGATACAAGAAGATTAAAAAAATTGTTCCTGCTCTACAAAGATGACAGCTGCTGATAAATCCTGTTGGAATCAAAGTTGCATTCCTACTTAAATCAATATCATAGACTCATAGAATTCTTTGGTTTGGAAGAGACCCTAAAGAACATCTAGTTCTATCCCTGATGTGATAGGCAGCAAAATCTTCCACTAGAGCAGGCAATCACCACTTCTCAGGAAACTGGGACACCTCAGTATCCTGAGTCTTCTAGTGATAGGATGAAAAAAGTTAATATATAACAGACAACTGACTTATTTGTAATTGAAGCCTAAAGAAAACTATACCTTTACACAGTATCAATACATAATTTACAATCTGTTTTGTATTTATGTTACACAAACAACTGAAAGTGACAAGTCATTTATTCAACAAAAGCCAACCTCCCCATAGTTAGATGGTGGATGATGAAGAGCAGTGCAAATCTGAATGTTTAATTATACTGTTTTGTTAGGAGAGCTAAGGGACATATGCATAAAAACTGCACACATACAAAATTGACAAAATTCCCAGTTTGAGAAAAATTAAACACAGTAAGATGGAGGCAAGTTTTGTAAGTCCCTAAGGAGAAAAAAAAATAAAAATTATATGACTGTCGGTTTCTGCATAAGTCACAAAGGCAAGTTGAAACATTTTTGGTTTATAATTAAATATGAGACTTTCTTAAAATGTGATTAATAATCCTGCTACTCAGCAGGAATGGCAGCAGTAACTTTTACCACTGCAGAGCAGATGTAAACCCACCAGTTCTCATGGCAAAAGCACATCCTTGGGACTCTGGCACAGAGCACCTTTCTCTACACAAAGATCTTGCTAATGCAGATCTGCTCTCCCTTAACTCCTGTTGGTTCATTGTGACTAACTACAGGAAATATTTGACTATTTTAAATAGAATGGGACTTTTTCCTGGTTTCAGCTGGGATAGAGTTAATTTTCTTCCGAGTAGCTGCCACAGTGCTGAGTGTTGCATTTAGTGTAAGAATAATGACAGCACATTGATGGTTTAGTTTTTGCTCAGTAGCACTGATCCTGCATCAAAGACTTTTCAGCATCTCATGCTCTGCCAGTGAGAGATGCCACAAGATGCACACATGGACACGAGGACAGCTGACCTGAACTGGCCAGAGGGACATTCCATAGCACAGAACATCATGCCCAGGAAAGTGACTGGGGGTGATTGGCCAGGAGGGTTTGATGATGCTCAGGGACAGACAGGGAATGGGTTAGCAGGTAGTCAGCAGCCACACTGAGCATCCCTTGGTTTTCTTAGGTTTTATTCCTCTCTCTATCATTCTCCTTATTATTATTATTGTTACTATTATTGCTATTATTATTATTATATTTTACTTTCTTTCAGTTATTAAAGTTATATTATATTCAGTTATCACAGACTTTACCTTTTCCTCATTCTCTTCCCCATCTCAATGCAGGTTTTGGTGTGTGTGTGAGAAGCAGCTGTGTGATACTTATTTGCCAGCTGAAGTTAGAGCATGACAGAGTTCTAAAAATATTCAACTGAAACTTGAAATTTGGCCTTGAAATAACACTTTTTAAACGGATTCCTTGATAAAGGGTTTCTTTCTGCCTTTGTCTTTCTTATTTTTTTGATATATTTCAACCTAATTTTCACCATAAACTCCCTGTGTTTTACTTAATTTAATTAGAACAGGGAACTTGGCCACTGAACAGCAGCATCCTGCAAGCTGTCTGCAGGAGCAGGGCCATCAGGGTCTGTAGGTCTCCCAAAAGAAGTTGGATGTGAAGAGCCAAAATATATTTTGCATTGCTGGGATTTCTGCTGCTGCCTCATTTTTAGTGCTTCGCTTGATTAATTCCTTGTTTGTATGTAATGAATTTCCAGTGGTAAGGATTCTGGATTCATTTCCAGCAATAAATCTAATTTACAATGAATAATTTGAACTATGGTGACATCAACATTAATTCCTGATCCCTTGATGGCATAATAAAAGCCAAGGTCTTTATGAAAAAATCCATGAATAAATATATCTCAAACATATTCTTCATCAAATGCCTGAGAAATCAAGCAGGTTTTACACCACAGCCTCAAAGCTCATACAGGTAAGACTGCTCAGATTGGGTTTCCAGCTCATGTGGACGAGGTTCGGGAGGCCTAAGCCTGCCCCGTGACAGGAGTGAGCTTTCAGCTGGTGATCCTCGGAGAGAAGAGGCTGCAGGCAGTGTCACCAGGACCCCAGGGCACTGAGGAACACGCTGGGGGAGCAGCACAGGTCGGGGTGCTCGGATCTCCTGCAGCCCAGTCAGCAGCGCCGTGTCCCCGTGCCACCACAGTGAGCTGGGCTGGGATGGGTGCCTGTACCCAGTGCTGTGTGCAGCCGTGCTGCAGGCATCTCACCCTGTGCCTGTATCCCAAATAGTGCCATTCCAGGGGCTGCTGCTCTCACCCACAGCCCCAGGCCAGGCAGGAACAGCAGCCAAGCCGTTCCCAGGAGTGCAGGCTCGTAATCCCTTCCTCCAGACACACACAGGGAAGCAGGGCCCAAGGGTGGCAGCTCTTACTGCATGGGGTGAAACCCAGCTCACCTGCACCTGCTTGGGCTGAGCTGCCCCAGAGACCAAGCAGGATCACTTCCCTCTCAATCCTGGCTAATCTTTTAAGGTCATTAAGTATTTCTGAACATACCCTGTGGAGTCACTGAGCTTCTGGATTCAGACACCCAGCCGTGGTCAGCAGTGCCAAACCTGCCCTGGCACCTGCACTGAAGCCTGACCCTGTATAGCCCTGCAGCAACCTGAACTGGGCCTGAATTCCCTGGAAGGGCCAAAAAGTGAGGGGTGAGGAGGATCATGGTGAACAGGCTGTAGTGGAGGACTGGAAGAGTGAAGACTGTGGTATCTGATATCTGCCATGTGAGTTTAGTACATGGTGACTTTTTATCCTTTTTTTGCTATGTGCACACTTTGTGGTTGAAAAAATTTTCCACAAGGAAAACAAATTTTTGAGATTAGATGGAACATGAAACATGACTTCCAGAGAAAAGATAGCCAGAGGTTTCTGAAATTTTTCCCAGGAATGTGTCTGCCCTAGAAATAATAGAAGCCATTCCAATGCTAAACCTAACTGCAATTTTTGCCTTAGCTAGGAATTAAGCTGATCCCATAAGCTGAGAATGATGAAGAAAAGGTGTCTCCAACAGTGTGAAACCTGCTCTATGCACTACAGCTGTACTGGTGACCAAGTGGCCAGAAAGGCCACTCAAGAAGCACCAAAGGTTTACTTTTCCTCCCTGAGGATTACAAGATTCTCTACATTGGCCCTAAGAGAATACTGATGAGGAAAGGTCATGCTCATTCTCAACTCTGAGTCAGCCACTTATCCTAACAGATGGAGTTAAAATCTCTTCAGTCCATTCTATCATCCACTGGGACATTTAAATCTGATTAATGTGAAAGAAAGTGGCAAGACACTCAGGTACCATACCCTTCTTACAATGTGTGCCTATGTGATGTATTACGTGTTCTGAAACCACTTTCTGTAACATCACAGAAAACCTGCCATAAATACAGACCTTTTCTGTAACATTTTAAAAACATAGGAATGGCACATAAATCACAAGACAATGACACTCTGAGGATGAGCATTGTGAAAGCTTCTTATCCTTGCTACAACCCATTAAAAACAAATCACAAATTCTGAAGTAGCACATATGAGAATCCTCTGAGGCCTAAGGTCAAAGGGCACTTACATGTTGAACATGCACTTATCAAACCTGTTAGCTCTGTTTACCCTTGAGTGAAAATCCTGTCCACACAGGAGCAGGGAACTGTAAAACGAAAATATTCAGCTACGAGAGACATTCACATGAGATCTTACTCAAAAGATACTAACCTACAATTTTCTACCTAGCAGGACTGTTCAGTGGGTGGTTTTGTGATAGCAAGATGTTTAGGGAGGAATGAGATAGACTGATACTCTATTTAGTTTATGAGGGCAAAGAACACAGTAAATCTAAGGATATTTTTGCAAGTTTTACAAGTTGTGTATGTTGATTGAGGCTGTGGTAAAGAGCTGCAGCTTAAGGGGACACCATGTTCATTCCAGTTAGAAGTAGAAATTTGCTAAAAGGAAGCCTTAATGTCTCTCTTAAGTGAGTTTTTTCCCCTGTAAAATAGGCAGTTATTTGGCTTGCAAGATACACCCACCATATAGATGTAATGATACTGAGTTTTGGTCAGAATTAAATTTGTCTGGATTGTTCTGCATATCATCAACAACATGGTGTACTATAGGTGATACATTTCCTCATGATTACTTAGATTTTATATTTTTTTATATTCCTTATTGTGCTATTTTTGAAAAGCCAATATAACCTTGTTTAGGAGTTCTGCTTAAAACTGATGCTCATTGTATGTTATAATAGAACAGCAATTAGTGGTTAGTTTTTATGTTGGATCTTTTAGAATTAAAATCAGAAAGAAAAACAAAGGCTGAAAATGTCAGAACCTGCCTGAAGGGGAATGCCCACTCTTTGCACAGCTCTAGGCAGCAGCACTTGTTTTCAGAGCTGGTTTGGTTCAGCAGTGTTTCCCTGAGTGTGACTCTGCACCAGCAGAGAGCAGTAGTAGCCCCATCATTAAGGGCTAGATGCTGCCAGATGTCTGGGTTTTGTTTGATTTAGGGACACAGTGGGGTCTGTGGGCACCCAGAAAACTCTCACAGTCTGGTCTGCTTGCCATGCCTCAGCTCTCCCACCTCAGAGGCTGTACAGGTGCAGGTATCTTGATGTTCTCCTTTATATTTTTGTTCAGGTTGACAAGAACAGTGAGGAATTATGCCCAAAATATTTGCTTGCATTCTATAAGTTCATAAGTATGAAGGAGCTGCTGCTTTCTCCTTTCAATATTTAATATGCAGTTGCTTTCAACTTCTGCTTACTGAATTTAGGCTTCTTAAGTTTTATTCCATGAAACAATGTTTATATACATATACATTTGTGTATATATTATAACAAGATTTCTATTTTTTATGAAGACTGTTCCAGCAAACCCAGACTTTCTAGTTCCACGAGGCCCCAGTAAATGCCTGTTTACATTATTTCTGTGGTCTGTAACTGAGAACCCAGCTGAGCCCCTACAGATTTACAAGCCCAGTGAATCCTTGAGGTTAAGATATCAAACATCCACTTGCTAATTGTGACATTAATCTCACACTGTCTGCTGCTGAGATGTTATTGCTGTACTAGTGCCACATTGCCATTTAAAGTCATTTCATCCTGTAGTGCAAGTCATGTGGTTCTGTCTGCTGGTACAGATCCAGCAGATGGATTGAGAAGGAGTAAGAAGCAGAAAGCAAAATGCAAAGAGACTCATTGATTTTAAAATATGGCATATTCAGAGGTAGCCCTTGCTTTTTGATTTCTTTGTTCTTAAGAACATAAAGTAAGGTGAGGGCTCTCATATCCAGGTAGTTCAGACACCCAGACCTGGGTGCTGGGGAATGCTGCAGTTAACACAAGGTAAAGGGATTTAGACATAGAGAAGCAGCTTTTGAAGTAAAATTCACTCCCCTGAGGATAGTGGTGAAGTTCCCTACAAAGTA